AAAAAACAGTAATCTTGCAAAATGTTATTACAATATAAAATAATAGTTTCTATTTTAATATCCTTTAAAATATAATTTATTTCTGTGATGCAAAGCTGAATTTCCATCAGCCATTACTCCAGTCTTCAGTGTCACGTGATCCTTCAGAAATCATTCTAATATGCTGATTTATTATTAGAATTATCAACAGTTGTGCTGCCAATTTTTATTTTTTTATTTTTTGGAAACTGCGATACTTTTTTCAGGAGTTAAAAGTTAAAAAGAACAGCATTTATTCAAAATATAAATCTTTTCTAACAATATAAATCTTTGCTATCACTTCTTGTATATGTATCTAATTAATGTATATTAATTAGATTTTAATGTATATTAATATCATTGTGAAATAATATTTCACAAAATTAAATTTTATAAATGCAGTCTTGATGAGCATAAGAAACTCCTGTAAACAAAAACATAAAAAATCGTTCTGATCCCAAACTTTTGACCGGTAGTGTATATAATGTGTTTTCAGTTCCTGGACTTCCGCTGTGGCCGCTGTGCCGTGGTGTCCAGTTCGGGGCAGATGCTGGGCGGTGCACGGGGTCAGGAGATCGACCGACAGGACTGTGTGATCCGGATGAACGCAGCGCCCAGCGTCGGGTACGAGGATGATGTGGGGAACAGGACCAGTCTGCGTGTGGTCTCTCACACCAGCGTGCCACACCTGCTACGGCAGCAGGGCTATTTCTTCGGGCGAGAGGCGGGAACTAGGTACGTCATTTGGGGCCCTGAGAAAAACATGAGGCAGGATGGAAAGGGGAAAATCTTCAATGCACTAGTGATGCTGGCCAAGAAGTATCCACATACAAATATCTACACCGTCACCAGAGAAAAGGTTCAGTACTGTGACAGCATCTTTCAAAACGAGACGGGCAAAAACAGGTTAGTCGTCCTCTCTTCTATCATCATTATTATGTAGAAAAGCAATTGTAAATGTAGTAAATGGATCGCTTTATCTCTGTCAGGATGAAATCGGGGGCATTTCTCAGTACAGGGTTTTTTACCATGATTTTGGCTCTGGAGGTGTGTGACAGTATTCTGGTTTATGGAATGATTGACGGCTCTTACTGCAGGTGAGTTCAGTTGTTTGAGTTTAGTTGCCATTAATTTTGGATCTGACATTATGTATATAGAATTGCATCTCATCTGTACAGAAAACAATTTATAGAATTAATGGTCTGTAGAATTTTACACTTGTATTTATAGCTCAGTATATTATATAATCAGTGGATTCATATTTTGAAGCAAATATTACTTTTATTGTGTTTATATATGAAGTTTATTTGCAAAAACAGATAACTCCGTTTTTTTCAAATTTTCAAAAATCATGTTTTTTATGATGTTATCATGTTTTTATTGTGTTTTATTGTGTTAGTTAGCTGTATTTTTTTGTTATTTTTTAACCTAATCAAAATAACCCAACTGCAGTTTGATTGAGATTAATTGGAATGCACAATGAAAAAACATGATTTTTGAAAATGGTTAAAAACTAAGTTATCTGTTTTTGCAAATGAACTCTTCATATATATACAGTGGGTACGGAAAGTATTCAGACCCCCTTAAATTTTTCACTCTTTGTTATATTGCAGCCACTTAAATGATTTTAGCAAATGGCTGCAATATAACAAAGAGTGAAAAATTTAAGGGGGTCTGAATACTTTCCGTACCCACTGTATATATATATATATATGTTTATTTATGACATATTCATATAAGTGTGTCAAAATATGTCATTCATATGAGT